CAACCTTTTTTTGCCTGTCAAATCATATATCTCATATATTTATAACACAGTCACAGACAGCTAAAGCAGCAATACCCTGGGCGTTTACTTTGAAATCAAGTTTCTTTCGCGTTCATTTGTGCCGAGTGTTACAACGAAAGTCCAACACATACATACCCACATACGATATACAAACATATTTGCACACTCACCTTTGCAGCACTTGGCCCTCCCTCAAATAACGCATTTGTTGTCCGCCTGCGAAGCATTTGGAATTGTCGACTGACCTCCGCCTTCTTTGGTTGTAATTTATCACCAAAGATGTCCTTGACTTTAGTACTGGATGTGGCTACATGAGTTTGTARATCTCTTGTTCATGCTGCTGCAGAGTTGCGCTGGCTTACATATACATACATACGTACATATATGTATGTATGTGATTTTGTTGTAATTTTCAGCTGATAGCTGTTTGTATTAATTAAATTTTTTCGCAAATTTTTGTATCCAAATATTTTAAAAAATTTTTGTGTTTTTTGATTGAAAAATAGTGAAAATTTTAATTAAAATTTTGTTTTTATTTTATTTTACTTTGTTTCGAAAAATGCTTGTATCCGCATATATTTTTTAAAATTTTCTTAAATTTTTAATATCTTTCGAACACAATAAAAAAATTGGTAAACYACATCACCACGTGTGCATCGGAAATAAGTCAGTTTTTAGCGCAGTTTGTCATAGCATACATTTAGGCGCTTAAAMATTTTTTTAACGAAAAATTCATGTCATTTAAATTAAAATAATCGTGATATAGTTCGCACGGTTTGGTACAGTTAAGTAAGTCTACTTTTAGGCGATTTTTCRGAACATTCTAATTATTTCAAACCTATTTTCGAAAATAAATTAGTAAAATTATTATTTTTGTTTATAAAAAATTAGAAATCTAAATCTCTAAGTATGATTCGGCAGTTTTTTATACTATAGCACACATTTAGGCGTTTTTGAAATTTTCAATAAAAACTCAATGTACATAAATTTGTAAAATTGGTGTTCATAAAATAAAAGCGAATTTTCCAATACTGATTTATAGCAAATCAGTAAAATAAATGTATACGTGTGAGAGAAACTAAGTCAGTTTGTCACTTTATGACGGCTTGTTGTAGCATACTTTTAAGCCTTACCAGTTTTGTTTTTTAAATTCATATTATTTCTGAAATTTTTAAATAAAGTAAAACAGTTGTGCGAAGTTTTTATACAGTTTTGATACTGTTTACTAGTCTAATTTTAGGCGCATTTTCGTTCATAGCATACATTTAGGGTCGTTAAAAGTTATTTTTCATTTTGCTTTTTAAATTCAAATAAATTTGTTCAATTTCTAAACGGAAAATAATCGTGCATATTTTTGTTAAATTTTGACAGCGACTAGTAAAGTAGTCTACTTTTAGGCGGTTTTTGCAAATTTACAGCTAATCAAAATTGATTGTTAAAAGTGATTATTTTGTGTAATCGGGAACTACTTATAGGCAGATTTTCGTTCATAGCACACAWTTAGGGTTGTTAAAATTTTTGTTTATGTATTTTGACGAAAATTTGAATTTTATTCTGCGGTTAGTTTACTTTTGGTTTGCTGAGAGGATAAAAATATTGGAACTTACACTC